GCGTGTGTGCACGCCCAGCCTCTGAGCTGGGACGCTTGCTGGCAGCTCTGATTGATGGCCGAGCTCTTTTTCTGGGGATATTCCCTTGTTCGCTGGTATTGCACCACCACCTAGTGGTAACAGCAGCCAAAATTCTGGCTTCAGAACTTCGAGATTTATTTATTTATTTTTTTCCTCCCCAGAAACGATCCCAACCTCTGGAGTTTATCGATCCCCTGGCCAACAAAAAGCCCAGGATCTCACATTTGGCTCACAGAACTCAGCCCACTTTCAACGGGAAACTGAATTCCTCCAACGGGAAGGACGCCCCTACCCCTGCCCCTACCCCTGCCCCTGCCGTGCCGCCGGCTCTCCCGGAGTCGGTGAGCTCCAGCTCCAGCCTCCCGGTGCTGGAGCTGCCGAGGCCTCACGATCCCCTTTCGGATGTCAGCAATGACCTGACTCACAACGGCAGAGACTGTGAGAACCCGGAGACGGCTGACAGATTGACTCATCCTTTGTCAACAGACTGTCCCCAAACGAGCAAGCACAATTGCAGCTCGTATGTAAAAACCAAGAAAAAATCCAAAAAGCACAAAGACAAGGAAAAGGAGAGAAAGGAGAAGAAAAATGAAGAGAAGTGCAAAGAGGAGAAGCAGGACTGTGAAGTAATAAAAAATGCTGACTTAGTTAGTGTTCCCCAGGAACAGGTCACAGGTACGTACGGTCTGAGACATCCTCCTGTACAGCTTCTGCTAATGGGATATTGGTGTCGGCTGTGTGTGATTTCTGCTCTAAATCCACTTGAGGAAAGAGGTTTCCACTGGCACAGACTGTGTGGTTAACGAAATAATATCGCTGTCCCTACCTCCAAATCAACAAACGCGCTTCCTCTCCAAAGAGGATATCAGGTTTTTCCAGTTTAACCTTTCGTGCTGTTTGGAACTGCCTCAGACTGTGTCATGTTTCTCCTTGTTAAATTAAAAGCTGTATTAATATATGGGGATGAAAGGCAGGCATCAGGATCTGTTGGAAAAAGCAGTGCTACTTGATTACTTACAGCTCTCCTGCTTGTGTTTGGTATTGCGATGGCTGTTGTATTGATTTTTAACTCGGTAATGAAAACTTAGTCACAAAAGCTTTTAATATTGGATGCAAAAGAAATGATAGATAAGTCCTGTGATAAATGCCCTTGGAGCAGTACACAACCAGCTCGTCCAGGCTGAAGGAGCTTCCTTGTTGTATCCCACTATCACTCTGAATTTCTTTCTTCAAGGACAAACACAACAGTGAATCTGTTACCCATGAGATGCCATGAAAATGTTTTCCATCAAAACCAGTATATTTCTAAGCCGGTTCTGCATACATTTAGAAGTTAGAGCAGAGAATATACATTGGCTGATCCGATCTGTTCCCTCACCTGTTGCTTTCATGTTTTCTGCTGTTTCCTTAGGCTTTGTTACAACTCCCTGGAGCAGTGGGACTTCCCCTGAAGTCTCTAGGAATATTGCAGTCCTGATCTGTTGTTAATTTAGTTTTCATGGAATCACAGAATGGTTTGGGTTGGAAGGGACCTCAAAGATCATCCAGTTCCAACCCCCCTGCCATGGGCAGGGACACCCTCCCCTACACCGGGTTGCTCAAAGCCTCATCCAACCTGGCCTTGAACACTGCCAGGGATGGGGCAGCCACAACTTCTCTGGGCAACCTGTGCCAGTGCCTCACCACCCTCAGAGGGAAGAATTTCTTCCTTAGATCTAATCGAAATCTCCCCTCTTTCAGTTTAAATCCATTGCCCCGTGTCTTACCACTGCACGCATCCATCTTGGGTTTTTTTGCATCCGTATTGTTTTCTTTTGCCTTGTTGCTACTTTCTAAGTTCCTCTTCATGTTTAGTGTGTGAAATCATCCAATTTTGGCTTGAAAAGGATAGTAACTTGAAAGGGAAACTAATTTGTCGAATTCTTGGAAACAAAGAGCTTCATGAGGCATTTGGGTTAATATGATATTAGCTCTCACCTTCCCCACAGTCTTTGTAGCACCTAAAAACGCATTTTGGTTGCTCACCAGTGATTTTTAATGCCAGTCCATAGTTCTTATCATTGTGTGGCACTGCAGAACCACACTCTTCAGATACTCCTTCTACTTTGATCTTACTTTTGTGCCACTCCTAGTTTTCTCTGTGAACGTTTTTCTTCCCCATGTTCCTTGTCTTGAATGGTAGTGGAATGATACCCACACGTTCTCTCTAGATGTATATTTTTGTCAGTGTTTCTTATACATACCAAAATACCCTGAATTCTTTCTTTGCGAAGTTGCTGACCCTTTACCACCTCTTCTGCTTTGCTTTATAAACAGTTTAATGACTGGCTTGTTGTTAATTAGTAGGAGTCAGGTTTTGTTCCTGCTGCACTGCTGATGTGTGAGAGGTAACGATTCCACGCTGGACTTGGGAGTAATCATAAACAGGATGTGGTCAGTGGCTGCCTGGATCTCGTACAGCCAGCTCACATCTGAATTGGGATCTTCTCCTTCTGTGCCTGACTTCATGTGGATAGCATGGGCCTGATCCAGCTCCTTTTGGCTGCAGCAAGTGGCTGGCAGCCTTCCCAAAGTCCTCCTCGGGCCAGGGGCTGCAGGGAAGCAGAGTTTCTCCTGGGAAGTTTGTTCAAGAGGTGGTGGAGGGACCTTTTGGGGTCCTTTCAGCAGTCAGTAGGTGGCACTCATAGGCAAAATAAACTTTATTTTCTCCCTTTCTTCTCCACGATCTTCCTTACCCACGTTCCACATCTTTTACGCTGGTGGTCAGGTAGGGTAGAAACAGAATTTGTCTGCATGCAGACATCTGCAGCAGGA